AGGTAAGCCAGGAGTTAAATGGTTCAATAAATTCTTAAAAGATTATAATTTAATTCCTAAATATTTATGTAAATTAGAAGCAGTTTATGGTGCAGTAGCACATGAGGCTAAGAATATGGCCCACGCTTATACAATTGCTGAAGAATGTCTATGTCATTCATCTGATAATCATACTTCTCCTGTGCAAAATTATGTTGTAGTCAATTATAAAAAAAGAGGAGTTCCTTATGAGCAAGCAAGACGATTTCATATTTATAATCAAGATTAATTGCACTTCTTCACTTTTACTATATCTACAGTAAAATTTTCATTATTATAAAAGGATTCAGAGCTGGACCCAGATTTAGATTCAGACGAGGACTCAGATGTGGTATCATTAAAAATTGTTTTTTTTCTTTTAGCCTTAGATAGTGTATGATTTCTCTGAGAAATATCTGGGTTTGCTATCGAGTTTATAATATCTTGCTGAATCTCAGGTTTTACTATTTTTAGTAATTGACAGAAAGAGATCTGAATTTTTTTATTTAACACTTGTTTAATAATGCGAGATATCACACTATTACCATTTCGAGATTTATGATTATTTTCTAATGTAGCTTTATTCATTGTCAATATCGTATCGTAATATGTACCTTGGTACTAGCTTTGCTATTATTTATTATATTAATACATAATAAAATTCAGAATAAATATTATTTTTCTGCAATGTCATGTGTTTTATTTCAAAGAAATGGCTCTTCGAGCCTAAATCCACGAATCAGAGATCAGCATAGAAGTATTTCGGTACTAACCAACTTACTAACCGCACTTATTACAAAACAATAACTCTTTGGGTCTACCCTTAAGCTAAATTATTTATCCACGATTGCTAGTGAAGATCAAGCGATCCTGGCCTATACTAAATAATTCGTGAATAAACAGATTGCCAAATCCAAAATTACTAATTTTTGATTGTAGTGTTTTGTGCCTAGATATGTTGATCTGTAAAAATTGCTAGATGCGGAGCATCCTCATTTTATGAGACATTATAAAACATGCATTATTTGCTTGAAATATAGCAACATAACCAAAAAATTGTAAGTATGAATATTACATGCCTTAAAACCCTCGCATTAAATATTCTTAAAAATGGCTCTTCCGAAACTATTGCAAGTGGTATTGAAGTTCCTAAACTAGATCCGTGTTCTATATGCAATGAAGAAATTTTTTTGCACATACTTAAAAAGTCATTCACTGTATTAACATGTGGTCATACTGTACACCGTCTTTGTCTTGAGAACCTTAGAGAAACTATGTTTACATGTCCTATCAATAATTGTAGTGCGGAAATCAAAATCATTGAAAAGTCACCACTAATGCGGGCTCCATCACAAAGAAGTATGAGCATAGATGAAGGATCACAAGATCCGTTAATATTTGGTAAAAATTCTTTAGTGAATCTAGATACAATCGTAGAAGAGAACTCCGAAAATAATTCACAAAACAAAGAACCTGACATACCTGACTTCACTACAAGTAATTTACCATCTAAACGTGTTGGTGAAGCTACCTCTGCTAAATCGTCAAATAAAAAAAAGAAATCTGCAAATAGAGAAGATTCTCCCATATTGAAAAGACTTATTCAGAAACTGTCAACTAATGATCCCAGAAAAACAGTAACTTCGCAATTTGAATCTACTTCTGAAACAAATACCGACTCAGTTAATTTTCTTGATCTATATAATAAAATTATAACTTCTGAAGATATTAATAAAAAAACGTCTCAGGATGTTATTCTTAGCTATTTTCATTTTGGAAAAGCATTGGAGGATCGTTTCAATCACTACAGAAAAACCAATCCCAAACGTACAGCTCAAGGGTTAGTTAATAATGAGGTTAGAACTCAGCTTCCTGAAATAGTTAGTGAAAGCTTACTTCGAAAGACAAAAGAAAGAGCTCAGAAAATTTACGATATTTTTAATGAAATAGGTATAGATAAGATTCAAAGAATTCGGTCTTTTACAGCTACAACAATAGCAAATATATCTCAGGACGATATTGATTTTGTATTGGCCAAACTTTCGATTTTAAAAGATAAATAATCCATCATGTAGACACGTGACGTTGTGACAAGCTGTCACAATCTATGTAATAAAATTTAATCGTGTTAGCATTTATGTATAAATGCGCCTAATTTTAATAAAGTATTCTCTTCTATGTAAATATGCATACATTAGCGTATCTTTCAGTTTCGAATAAAAATGAATTTGTTTTATTATCATATACTTGTTACAAACGGCTATAAGTCATTGAAATTGCTAAATTGATAAAATCGGTGAAATTGCTATAAATTGCTAAATATGCCCAGTGATACGGTTAAAATAATAATAGATAATATCTATAATAAAAGAGTACCTAAACCTAGCAATCTCCGTCCCGGATATGATATGGAACATGTTTTTAAGTATCGACCTCAAACTGATAACTATCGGTATGAAAAAGTGGTTAAAATAGAATAACAATAATTATGTAACACATCACGAAAAAATCAGGGCGACCATTTTACTGCGCCCCATTATTGCGCCTAGTGTAACCATGACACTAGTGTCACACTCTCTTTAAAAATTAAAAAAGTGCGTGAATTTTTTTTCACGGTGTCATATGATCATTGCCGGTGACGTAAGAAATAGGCAATGAGACTCAAACAGATAATAATACATAATACATGAGGCGGAAATTAGTAGCCGGGTTACCGATTTATGCAAAATCTGACTAAGGCAAATAATCAACTGCGCCATGAATTAATAAAACGAAGGCACAAGTACAGGGGTTGGAAAGCCCTTGCTTTTATGAAATCATCGGGATTTAATTAGCCGATCATCCCCTTTGACGCGTCTTCACCTTAATGTATAATATAAAAGACGTAAGGTGAGTTTGATATGTTCGATATATATATTTTTTGCGAAGCAAACAGGTTAAAGCCGTTCCGTAAATCACGCTGTATTTCAAATCGCTGAATATCTTTTAGCCACATCAGCATCTATGAAAATGACGGAAATTAATAATTCGCAAAGAATACCACAAGAAGTGAAAGATTTCTTCAAAAATAACTCGACGTGGTCGTTACTAAAGTTTCTTCAGTATAGAGAGAGAACCGAAAGTTTCACATATGAAAAAGATAAGGAACATATGTTTTATAAGAGCGCGTTGACCATGATTTCCGATGAGCAAGCTCAATTATGTCTCCTCAATTTTGAAGTTAAGTATATGAGATGTGTAATACCACAAGTAACAGCTGGGTTCAAGAGTTAAAATATGTTCCGGTCTCAGGACACATCGTGACATATTGACAACCACCGAGTAGCCAGCTGGATTCGTTCTGGCGGGTGAGAGAGGAGTTCGTCTTCCCTCGGCACTCTTGAATATACTACACGTTAGTTGCCATGACGCAATAGGTTGGGTTCGTCCTAACTTGTTGTTAGGCTTTGTGCTGTGTTATGGTCCATCTCAATCACATAAGATAATTAAAAAAGAATTATTCAATCTTATGCTAACCAATATCCATTTTCTTTTTAATAAAGAGGGAGAAAATTTCTCAGAGTGTTGATAATTTCTGGAGTGAGATCGAGAAAAAACATTTAAAAGACAATATCGAAAAAGGATCGGTCTGTAAATTGTGCTTTGTAATTGTTTATTACTGTGCTGTACATAGAGGAACTAATTGATGTAAATAGTTAGGATACATCATTGACGTTATAGATGATTCGGCCGAGGATTCCAAAATTGCAAGGAAATTTTTATCCAACGAGCTAAAATCATTTGTAACAAGTTCTTTGAAGCGAGATTGTGTAAGTATTAAGAAAATTCGGTATTATATTATGTTTTTGCATAGTAATTTTACTTTCCTCTAACATTTAGTCACATGTGGAAACTTCTCAAGATCATTCCAATTTTCACACACCAGATCACAGTAAGAAGGTCAGGATAGGGGTTAATTCTGTCTCATTGTTTCGTACTGATTCTATGCATTTAACCATTTGTTTTAATATGCTATAGACCAGAACAGACATGTCCAATCTCTCATTCGATGAGTACACCAATGCTGTTAACGCCGTCAATTCTGTTCAAAACGATAAAGAATCTGCCCACACAAAGTAATATATGTTCTGCCTATTAATCTATCTATTCATTCTTGTGCGCTCATTTTCCCTGTTGTAGCCCACTCTGGTGGGGTGTTCTAGACTTTCGTGAGGAGAACGTGTCTCCGAGTCCAAGCCTTCCCCGTGCAAAGAATTTTCTCTCAGCTAATGAAATTGATCGTTTGATGAATATGACACAAAATGCTATTCAAGAAGAGAATGAAAAGATAAGTAAATCAGCTAAATCACTTTTAGAAGCATTGTTATTATCGGAAATCGTTAGCCTCCAACTTCTCGCAAAGGAATGTGGTGCACGTGGAGTAGTCGGTGTATGTGATCTTTTGCAAAGATCTGCTGGTAAAATGCAGGTGATTAAAATTATATGCGTACTATCGCCCACAAATCTATAAATTCTATAACAAATCAATTTGCAATAGGATGTTGATAATAAAAAAATAATTCAAAATCATCTCGCAAACGTAGATGCTGATGACGCTACAATATATATCGGGAGATGCATTGAGGACAGGTAAGTTTTCTTACACAAGATAATTTGATCATGAATTTAAACATGGTATTACAATAGATTCGTAAACTCTAATAATTATAATAGTTATGAATGGATCAGTCGTTTTCATGGACAATGTCAATCTGAACGAACCGTCGACATGTTCCTTGTTGGGCCTTTTGCAAAAACCCCGCAAACTATATTCACATAGTAAGAAATATGGCTTATTCTTGAATAATTTATCTGTATTATTAATATTAAGCATTATTTTTTTTCTCCTTTATAGTGGCGAAAACCACTCAGATGCTGACCGCGGGGATAAAACGGATCGTTCCGGGACTAGTCGTGTTGGCAAATCATGCGATTTTTTATATTGGGTATGTCTCATTCGGTTATGAAAAGTTAAGCTAATTCTAACATAGGCTTTATATGTAGAGCTCGTCTCGAGAAGCTGGCAATGGTGAGAATAGCGGGCCAACCTCATGGTCAGACATTCGTATGATTGGCTGATGTAGATCAATTGCCCGGGTAACTTACGGGTAACTTATTTATACACTTTAAAGTACTTTTCGATAATGTAACGTTTCACTAAAAAAAATACAATTTTTTTTTTACCATTAGCTTCGCAAGAGCGTTAATATCCAGTGTGCAAAAGAATCTCAAAAAGATCTCAGAACTGACCTACTTTACTTAGAAGCGAAAATGTCTACTAGAGGGCCATGTGTAATTGCTATATGCAAAGGAAAATCATCTAACTGGAAGATGGTAACCGAACATGTTATTTCTAAGGGTCAAACTAACAATACTTTACCAAATTATGTTCAACTAGGTGATATTATTTGTTTGAACTGTTACAATGGAATTGTAACAAGAAGCTCGGCCATATTCCTGCAACATGCTCAAGCTAATGTTGAACGATCTGAAGTTGAAGTTGAGAATGTTAACAATCTAGATTGATCTGAAGTAGAGAATGTTATTGATCTAGAACAATCTGAAGTTGATAATACTAATGAAATTGAATTTGAGAATGTTGAATTTGAGAGTACTAATAACTGTTTGTCTTTTTCTAAAGCAATTAGGGTTTAACAAAAATTTTGTATAGTTGTGAAAATAAAGAGAATAAATTGACTATATATTCATTTGATGATTTCCAGGCAGCCATGAAAGAGGAAGATATACGATTAAAAGATTTTTTTGATGAGTTATATCTCTCATCTAATCTGCAATCAAAAAATGTAGAATCACGGATGCGGGTGAAAAAACAACTTTTGTTTGTGTGTTATTTTTTGTGTAGAGTTAGGAATAAGTTTGTTAACAATATCAAGAGAGATTTATCAATTTATTTAGATTTAACCGGGTTTCTGACACTACTTTAGACACTCTTGCAAATTTAGGAATCACTGTTACATCTTGTTCAGTCTTGTGATGTAAGACTAACGCATCTGAGGAGCATGCTGTGGTTGTTGATTCTACACTTGCTAAGTATATAGAAAAAGCAATGGTGTTAAATATCGATGACTATTATAGTATTTATACTGAACGGATACCAAATACAACCACTATGTCTACTGTTGCACACTTGGCAACAATCTTGTTGAATCCAATTACTACACAAGAAGCTATTCTATAAGCAAACGTCCATAATCCTAAGTTGGTTGATGCTGAGCTAATTAAGATGAATGTAGAAAATAAATTTATGACACACTATGGTCTTTTACATAACCAATGCTAGGGATTTTGTGCAGTTGATGATAAACAAAAATTAGAAGAGTTAAATGTGCATAATTATGACACCCAGGATGTTATTCTTGTAGATTTACAAGAAAACAACCTTTATACTATGGAAGAGTATATTGATGCTATTAATGCTGTCATAAATGTTCTAACAATGCAGCAATATATCAAAAAAGGGCATATAATTTCTATTGTTGCCGATTGGCCTGGGCAAATTCATATTAGAACTGCTATTTCGCGTTATTTGCTTTATCATGATTTATCGAATATTACTAATAATGTTTTGTCTTTTCTTCCTATTATAGGTTCTCTTCATATTTCATTAAACAGTCGAGAATTGATATTTCTTCAGTATCAACCTTTTTTCTCGGCAATGTACAAGTAT